CCTGCACTCCTGAGCTGAGGTGTCGGACTTGGTGGGTGATCTCCAGCAGCATCTGCTTGCGCAGGGGAGTCGCAGAGGTGGAGGAGATGAGCTGCAGCAGGGACAGGAGAGCGACAACGGCCTTCAGTGAGGGGAGCATCCTGTCACCCTGCCTGGGCTGCCTGGCCACGGCCTCTGCCTGCTGCTCGGGACAGGCCCATTTTTATAGCGTGCAGAAGGACCTGTGTCTCCATTGACTGCCAAATATAGGTGTCTTCCTGTGCTGCTGGCAGTGGAAAGTGACACCCCGAAGAAGGACATTACGTAATGATGGGACACTTTTCTATCCGTTGAATAACGTTATCTGTTGTTCAGCTACATGCAGATTTTAATCACCCTGCTGATGGATGAGGAGATACTGGGATGAGAAGTCAAGAATTTCTCTTTGATGTCTGAGCATCTATTTACTATCGAGCGTGTTTGTGCCGTGCTGCTTGTGGGAAACCATGAACGTGTGCGGGATGGAACCGGGCACATTGTGAGTAAAGTCAAGGCAGAGAAATACCCAGGGGTGCTTTCCTGGTCTCCACCATGACCCAGACAAAGCTGGCTCTGGGATGTGCATGGCTGGATGCCTGCCAGGCTCCTGCCCTGGCTGTTAGTGTCTCAAGGGAGTTGATGTGACAGCAGGTACCTGGATCTCTCCTCCTGCAAGGCCCCTTCTTCCTAGGGCTGGCACGTGGCTGCTCTTGGAGAGGAAGAGCTGAACTGTTTGTCAGAACAATTCACGTCCTTTGGCCACCAGGGCAGCAGCCCCAGCAAGCTCACACAGCCAAAGATTGGAAAGAGAAGAAAACCTCAAAACTTTTATCAAGATGTTAAACATCTGCAAAGACAAAAAAAAAAACAAAACCTCTTGCATGTAAAGGAAGAAGCAGCTTGGGGGGGGGTTTCTGGCATGTGGGTGTTTGGTTTTAACCAGGACTTCCTTGGCTCTGTAGCACAAATTCCATGGTGTGAGGAAAGCTCCTGCAGCGCCCAGCTCGGGGTCCCCCACCCCCCCTGCCATCCCAGGGGGCATCAGAAAACCAACAGTAGCTCAGGGATTCAAACCACCAAGTTCTTGGGCAGAAGAACAGACACAAACCTGTAATTGTCCAGTTGTCCTTCTGCCATCTGTCCCTGCACGTGCAGGTGAAGCAGCACCTGGTGGCTCTGCTGCTCCCCATGGTCCTGCCAACCCCCTGCAGGGGAGCCTGACTTCACCTGGTACCTGCTTAGGGGCTTAGAAATAGGGTAAATTGTTGAATTTAAACTTAAATGTTTCTACATTTTATAAATTAACATTTTTTTTTCCAAATTTTCAGTAAAGTCAACGTGTCACAGAGCCTGAGGAAGCCTGAACTTCACATTTCAAACAAACCTTTCCTATTTCTCTGCACTCTTTCTGTGTGGGATGACCACTGACCTGTTACAGTGACAGGACTGCAGCACTCACCATTCATGGCTTGTATTAACCTGGAAAAATTGGTTTTCCCGGAAAAAACAAGATGGTGATGGTTCCCAGTTACTGAATTCAAAAGGCTGGGTCAGAGCCAGGCAGGAGGCTGGAGGATTGCCATGGCATCAGGAGGGGGTGGAGGGGCTGGTGGTATCTGGGGCAGCTCAGCACAGTGTGTGTGTCTGCCTGTCCCACAGCCAGCGTGCCCTGAGCCCAACTGCTGCAGCAGTTTTTGGGTTTTTCCCCCCAGCCCATCTGCTGCAGCAGTTTTTGGTTTTTTTTTCCCCAGCAGCCAAGCCAAGGTTGGATGCCACAACCATCACACCCAGATGGAGAGCAGAGGGTTGGCTGGAGCCACGACCACCACCAGCATGGGATGGCCTTGGTGGACACGGATGGAACTGATGGACATCAGTGGAAAGAAACAGGTAGGACCAATTGCTGGCAGATTGAAGGGGCTGCAGCTCTCCGTGGCAGCCTCCCCTTCTCTTCCCTGGCTCTGTAGGAAATAGGGGAGTGTCAGTCTGTAGCTTTAGCTGGGCTGAATCTGTGCCTGCCCAGTTGAACAGGCAGTCTCTCATCTGGGGGCTGGACCATTCCATGGCAGGTCCCATCTGGCCGCTTTGGCCACCCCTGGCTCAGGGTGGGACAGGACCTGGCACTGCTGGCAGGAAGAGCATCTGCTTCTCCTTCTGCCTTTCCTTCCTCGCAGTCTCCTCGTGCTCAGCTGTCCCTCCCTGGCAGTTTGAGCAAAGGGAGGCAACTGAGTCACCTCCCCACCTGCTTTGGCAGCCAAATTCAACCCTGGGCAGGGGGGTCTGTGGAGGGACAGGACGGGATCGCAGCATTAAAAACAATGCTGGAATCAAGAGGCTCAGGGGATGCTTTAATTGAAGTGTGAAGAACACCTCAATTTGAGGTGAAGAACAACTTCAGTTGTTCTTGAGGGCCTGATTTTAGATGACCCTTCTAATCATTTTCTCACTTCCAGCACTATTCCAGCTGCCCCTTTTACCAAATGCCCACGGAGAAGCCACCACACGTTTTCCAGGCCACGTGTGCTGTTCCTTACCTTCAGAAGGGGGCAGAGACATTAAATAAGACATTTTACAAGGTGAAAAAAAAGCCCAAATGTGGGTCAGGGTGTAATGTGTAGCATCAGCACACGCAGTATCTCTTACATCAGTGGCTGGGTTTACAAACAGTGGATGCTCCCTGTGCTGGAGCCATCCCACCTCCTCCAGCTGCTGCAGCTGCAGGCAAAGGCACAGGCCAGCAATTCCCTTCTCCTGCACAAATCAAATCACACGGGTAGGACGGAGCCGGGTGAAGGAGGATTTGCAGATTGCATCCCGTTTCCCAAAGGTGGGATGGTGCAGCAGGTGCAGTGAGCGCTGGCTCCTGGCAGCTCGCCCAGGGGGGCAGCAAACCCTGTCATACTGAAATAGATGAGATGATACTTGTGTGACATTTAAATGCAAAGTCTCAGGGAGACAGCAAATGATTAAGCTTTTGGAAGCATCATCTATTTTTATTGGTTTGGTTTGTGGTGTTTATTTGTAGATAATCATATCTGTTTGGGCTTCCTAATGTAATTTTTAGGGCATGCAAAAGCTTTTGGCCTAAAATATGCCATGTAGGAGGAAACTGCGGGAAGAAGTGAGTTATGTGTTGTTCTCTAAGTCAGTTTTTTTACTTCAGGGAGATCAGAGAGCAGTTTTGGTTTAAAACCACTTAAAAAAAAAATTTAAGAAATTAAAAATTCTCCTTTGATTAAAAAGTCTTCTGGGAAGTTCTTAAACTCCGTGTCCTCTGGGGCAGGTGTTGCAGCAGCCTCAAGCAGAGCTGCACTGCAGAGGTGACACTGAAGGAAGCATCAGAAAATCAAAGTGTTGGATTTCTATTGCCAATTCTAAATTCCACGAAGAAACAAGGTGTTCAGACAGGGATGTCTTGGAGGCCTCTGGGTTTTTTTTCCCAATGAAAGTTGTTGGCAGATGATAAACTGAAAATAAGCCTTGGCACTGAAGCGATGGATGCTGGGGCACAGACAGGGGAGGAAGGGCTCTTGCACGAGCAGTGGATGCCAGAGCCCTCCATCTCCTGCAGATCCCAGCTCCAAAAGCATTTCCAGGGCTGAGGCTGCAGCCAGATCCAAAGCCCTTGAAAGGGATTTGCACCCAACCAGCCCTTCCAGGGCAAGATTAGGGCCATGGGAAACGTTTGGTGCTCCCAGAGGTGCTGGGTGCCTTCCTGCTTTGCAGACACCATCCCAGGCACCTGCCTGATTCTGGACTCCTGACCCAATGGCAATTCCACTCACTAGTGTTGTTTTTGCAGGGGTTATTGTGGGCTCAATCACAGTGTCTCTGGGTGTTCCTGTGGAGTCATGTGCATGGATTGCTGTGCAGAGCATCCCGTGCTGGCACCTCTGCTGGAAACCCAACCCCACTCCAGCCACCATGGTAAGTGGACAGTCCTTTTCTTCACCACTTTAAATCACCAGCCCAGTGAGTCACCACAGTAAATCTGTGCCTTGCTTGCCTTGAGATGTCTCTGCTTGGTTCTGCACTTTGTGTGGCACCTTGTAGGGGCAGCAACCCCTGTGCTGGGATACCCTGCTCCTCCTGCTGCCCTCACCCGCCCTGTGCCAGGGCAGGGTCCCCTGGGGTGGCCCCTCAGCACAGCCAGGCCCTCTCTGTCCCCACGAGCAGATCATGAGAAGTGGTTCAAGTTTCTCCTACACTTGATTCACAAAAGCACTTTTTTTGTTGTTTTCCAGTCCATGTGAAAACCCTGGGGCTGGTGGAGTCTCTTTGCTGTTAGCTACCTCCACTGTTCAAATCATTAAGGGGATTGTTTTTTATCATTTTACTGGAGTTGATATAGGAGAGGTTGGTTTCCCACCAAGAGGTCGGTTTTCCAAGATTTGGCGAAATGTTCAATGTGTGTGTGAGGATAAACTCTGCAGCTGGGGAGCAGAGAAAGGCTGGTTTAGGCAAAAATGTGCCCCAAGTACTTCCTAGAGAAACTGCCAGTCACGGTTTTAGCTCGAGGGAAAGAGCAGCACAGAATACACAGAGGTTGGGGAGCTGCTTCTCGAGACAATGCAGAACTGGGGTGTACATGTCATGCTAAAATAAACAGGTTGCACAGGAAAACTTGAAATTTCAAAGTTGGGGGTTTTTTGTGTGTGACTTGATTGTATCTTTAAGAAAATTTCCCTTCAGGAAGTAGTACTAGTCAGTGAAGCTTCTTGTTTAAAACTGCAACATGATGCCTGTTAGTAGCATTTTCCTTTGCCTGCTCTCCCCACTTCCCAGCTGTGTGGTCATTGCTTTTTTTTGGGGAATTGGTGAAAACGTAATTGCTAGGAAGTCCCATTCATTCGCTTATCTTTGAGTGGTTTCCCAGGGCTGGGGCCACGCTGGCCTGGTGGCTTTCAGAAGGCTGAGTTGGACATAATCCTTAGTTGAAGGGCATTGCAGAGAAATCTGCAGCGGATCTCCCCAACAGGACATACACAAAGAACTCACAACTTTATTTTCCCTTTTAAAGCATAGAATACACCTGAATTAAACTGCCTGGTATTCACTCGAATTCTTTCAAATCATGGCAATTCCTAAGCCCAGGCACAGAAATATGTGGAAAGCTATAAAGTTTAAAAGTCTTACAGTTTTAGACTCGGCTAAAACAGTGACAAATCTTCGACAGAATGCGACACAAAGGACCTGCATTTCCAGGCACCTTCACCTGAGCTGTGCCAAGGCAGGCAGTGTGGGATGTGTCAGGTCTGTGATGTGCAGTCACTGGATGTTCTAATGAACATACGAGCCCAGGGAGCTGACACTGCACTTCATGATCTCAGAGCACTGGTCAGAGTTCTTCCTGATCCTGAAGAAGGTTTCCACGTATTTAGAACGGCCCAGAAGTTCCACAAAATCCTCATCGTGAGTTATCACCAGGAGCTGGAAGTTCCGCTGTTGGGAGCGGCTTTTTATTATCCTGCAAAGAGATATTGCCCAGTGAGTATTTATCTACATCATGTGCTCCTCTCAGAGAACTTGCAAACACAGGGCACAAAAAATCAGCTGCCCAGAACGAATGACAGGAACCATCGACAAACCTAATGCTGATGGGCCACTCTTTTTACCCACATTAAAAAATCCCCTCTATAATTATTTAAGAAATACCTTTTCCAGACAGAAGGAATTTAAGGCTGCTGCTCTGCACGTGTATTTGCAGATGCCATCTAAAGTGTCAGAAGCAGAGCTCACTTACTCCACGAGGGCATGTGCCAGAGACTCGATGTTCTCTCGGTCCAGGTTGGTCGTAGGCTCGTCCAGTGCCAGGATGCCGCAGTTGAGACAGAACGTTTCTGCCAGGGCAAGGCGAATGATGAGAGAAGCGAGCACCTGAGGGAAAGAAATAAAAACCAACACAAAAATCTCACTCCTCAGAGTGTTTAAAGAGGTTCTACATGTAAGGAACTATTTTTCATTCCATTACGATCTGTGATGCAGCTTACAGAACAACGTGCTGATAGTTCACAAAATGACAATAGCTGATTAATTGCTGAAAAACTAAATTACAGCTTCCAAGTCTGAACTGACAGATGGACTCCACAAAGAAGTCAAGTACTCAAAATTCAGGAGCTATTGGAAGTTAAGGGTTCTGATATGAGGAAAGGAGGCTATGACACTGCCACCTGCATTGCCTCCACTCTCTGTGCAAGCCCATCCTACTGCACAGGGAGGGTGGAAATTTGTCTGCATCACTGAGTTTGAGTTACTAAACTCCTGATACTTACTAAAACTGAAGATAGGGTTTGCCCCCTTACATTTTAGTTTTGCATCAACATGCCTAATCATACCTATAAGATCTTCTGAACTAGTGCGAATTATAGACCACTCGATGGAAACTGTGCTGCCAAAAATATTTTCCAACTATCACGACTGCTGGCACCACAGTTCATGATCAAAGAATTCTCAGAATATCGGCTCACAAACGTGTTCAGGTTTCACTCTCATTTACATGAGACTGCAAAGCAACATCCTAAACTGCTCGGGGAGACAGCAGAGTGTGACAGGCAGGTGACAACGACCCTGCAGCCCCAGCGTGTGTGGGTGTGGCTGTGACGAGCTGACCACAGCACTGCATGGCTGCTGACATCAGGGTGGTACTAAAGCAGCGAGACACGGGAATGGGCAGAGCAGAGCTGCGAGCTGACAGCGCAGAAGGAAAGGCAATACCTGGAAGGATGGCTTGGCGTGATCTTGGTGACATGAACTGAAAGGTTACAGTCAGCAACAGGGGAGAAACAAAATGTGGAGGGAAAGAGGTCCTGTCAACTCAAGAGGTGGATGCAAAAAGAAGACCAAAGGCTCAGGAAGACAAAAAACCTGGGAAAAACGGATTGACCTAAAGCTGTGGTAACCTCAGGCTGGGAGGAGCTGAACTCGAGAAGAGAGGGAAGTCAAAGCCTTCACCCCTGCAGGGAACCAGTCTGGTGCCCAACTGAAACCATGTAAGGTTCAGATGTTCAGAATCATGAACTGCAGATATATATATCAACAGATTGACATAACCCAGACAGGGGAGGGAGCTGGGGCTGCCTGAGCTTCGGTCACTTCTGAACAGGGGATCGTCTGCATGCCCTGGGTGTGCTCTCAGAACCCCTGGGTGTGCTCTCAGAACCCCTGGGTGAGCTCTCAGAACCCCTGGCACTGAACACAGTCAGCCCTCACCTTCTGCCCAGCACTGCATCTGCCTCGCATGTCCAGGGCCGTATCCCCCTTCACCATCACCACCCTGTAATTGTAGTTTCGTCTCTTATCAGCGGCCGAGACGTTCTCGTCGGCATCAGAACGAATTTCTATATATTCAATATCTGAAAATGAGAAGGAGACAGTTTTTACAGTATCAAAAATCTTCCAAAATAACACAGGATTAACGGGAGATGAGGTGTAATATCCAGTCACAACAAAAATTCGCTTCAGAACTCCCACTAATAGATACATCTTTGAAATTAATTTTTCCAAAATGGAAAGAATGAACTCCTGCATTTCCTCTGCCTCAAGGAAACCTTACCTTTGGAAAACATAGAAAAGGGAAAGTTAATTCTATTTATCCTGCAACTTACTATATAATGTGTAATAAAAAAATTACAGTGGTGAAGAATACATGTGGCCTTTACCATATAACCAGCTCTTTTCAGATCCCAGATTTTTCGTCTTGTGAACACTGTTCCATATGCAGTGCTCAACACCAAATGGATACACATGGGATAAACTAATAAAAAATATCACAAACCTTGTCCTCTGTAAATGCTTCGCCAAAGGTCACGAATTATCTTGTTGATTTCTTCCATCTTCATGCTATGGAATGTCATTATTGCTCTAAAGAACAGCAACAAAACCCACAGAATGTTAGAGATGAAACGATGGACTGCTTTGGATAAACACTTTTACTAAAAACTGAGTAAATACTAGTTCATTTTGAATGCAGAAGGATCTGAAGACTAACACACACTGTTGTGTAAATAATTCTACTGTCAGAAACAGCTCAGTCTCAAGAAGTAGGAAAGTAATGCAGACAAAGTTATTTCCACTCGTTGCATGGAGAGAGACTTGACATGACTTTTGACAAGAACTGTAATTTCTGTGTGAGGTGTATTTTCAGATGGACACCAAGGAGATGAATCTGAAGGTAAGCCTTCCAGAACAATACAGTGCCAACAGCAATAGGAAAGGACAACCTGAAGTCTCCCCAGAGCAGAGAATTTTTATCAAGAATGTCACTTTATAATTACCCAAACAGGCATTATGACTAGAATTGCCTTTCTCTTCAGCAGCAAGAGTAACACAGAATGTCAATAATTATTTTGAATTTAATTTCCCTGGTGAATATATCACCATGATTTTAGATGATTAACAGATGAAATCCTACAAAGCATTCAGGAAAGGACAGGACACTGCATTTCTGACTTGGTTTTTTTAAAAAAACTACTCTGTAATAAAAAAAAATGCTCCCTCACTTTATGGCAAGTGAACATAGCACAAAAAACATGGCAGAAATAAAATAATCCTTCTGAAATGCACTTTTACATATACTTTTCCCACTTCTGCTCTTCCACCTGTTCTGGGGAATACTGAGGTATCAAGTCTAACTGGAATTTGTTAAGTTAAAAATGAAGTGTTTTCAACAATTTACTAAATGAACCCCAAGAATGCATTCCTCATCAATATTTATCACCACCTCTAAATATTGAGTCAATAAAGATCAGCTGATAGCACAGAACACCCACAGTGCTGGCTTTCCCAGCCCCATCCTCAGCTCTGGCCACTGGAGGCATTTCAGCTCACCGATTTTTCAGATGATTACCCATAAGTGATGCTTATCTATTTTTCTTGAAATTACAAGACTGTTTTCCTGTTTAGCCTTAAATAGAAACAATAGATGATTTGACAGCATACAAAAAGAGTCTAATTCTAAAAAGGAAATTCTTGGAGTGCATTTCCATTACAGCTGAAAGGGAAGAATTATACACATTGTGCTATTTCACCATTCTAACTGAGCAAACAGGGGGTTTTAGGGAGCCACATGTTTTACTTTGTACATGGTTACAAATTTGGAGATGCCCTTTCTGGCCAATCAGTCCAAGACTAGCAAATAAGCTTCCAGAGGAAACAGAAACAATCACAAAGTTTGCTACACTTTCCATCAAATGCCAGACGTGTTTCTTATGATCTTGCCCTCTTTGATATAAGCACAAAACCACCCACACTGGAAAAGGGGAAAAAACACCTCTATATGGTAATAGTCTTTAGTAAAACACAACAGTTTACCTCAGCAGATGATCATGGGAAACAAAAAATCTACCTGGCTTATCTTATTGATGTGAAGGTATGACCAGAAGATGCTAAAAGACACTGCTATAGAAGTGAAAGTAGAAAGGCCCAGGTTAATAATCAAGGATTTAAACATGGATTTCACCTTTCCTTCTCTCTCTCCAACTGCTGCACTGCAAATATGAGCCCCAACATGTACAACCATACAAACAAGTCCTACAAAGAACTGGGAATGGAATTGTAACGATCATCAGACTTATCTATGTGTTAAAATCCAATTATTATCATCAATGTATTTACTATTTGTGCATTATAGACATTAACTTACAGATATCCTACATCATACCAATCCTGTGCAGTTTCTAGTGCAGTTGCATTAATTTACTTAAAAAGTTGTACCTTGTTATCCTTATGTTTAAATGCCAAAATTTATAAAGACGAGTTGTTATGCATCTCAAAGAATTGTATCCATTTACTATTTCCAGGCTATCCTGGAAGCCGGAAATTGAAAGCTGCTTTTGCATCAAGGTTACTGATAAAGATGGAAACATTTCAGAATGACCCTCACACATGACAATACTTACTTATCAAGAGCCTTGTAATAAAGGTCCAGGTCTTTGTTCACCAGCTCTGTTGTCCTCATAACAATCATCATGTCCCTGTATTTGTCCTCTGCATCTTTGAACTGCGGCTCTCGAAGCTCCTTCCGAAACCGAACGATCTCCTCCTCAAAGCCCCTCTGGCGCCCAAGGGCAACGTGATGGTTCCTTTTCAGAGATTCTATTTCCTCCTCTAAATGCTTTTGTTCACTGTGAAACCACAATTGATACACAAGTCTTTTGTGTTTAGTGTTTGTTACACAATTTTTTAATCAGGGTTCTCATTCACGCTGGACAGTAGCTCATTATGTTGTATCCTCCAAGTCTTTACCAGTTACAATTACAGTACTAATGCCACTGAAACAAAGACATCCTTGAAATAAAAACATTTAAAGGTTGTTAAGAACATATTCAAATCACTGTTCTGAGTGGGAGAAACACGTTGTCACGTTCCAATGCTAAAGTGCTAATAATAGAATTATAAAAAATAATTAATTTCATAGGTGGAATTTAGCTAGGATACTGAGCAAAATAGGAAAAATTATGAGGTAAGCTCCAGTAAGCTAAATAAATATTTCACATGCAAGAACCGGCAGAGGGATAATCACTTTTCAAAAGTGTTTATTATTAAACTACTGAAACAAACATAGAATTTGCTGCTGGGACCAAGTGAGCAGACTGAAAATGAAAAGTAAATATTCTTCTCCGGAAGTATAAATCATTTAAATGTGGATTTAGCAGTGAACATCATGACAAAGAGTTAGCTTGGAACAGGTAGGAGCACATATTTCTGTTTCTAGCCAGAAGCACTATTTCATTTCACTGAGTCATTTCTGCTGTTGCCACGGGGATGTGAAGCAAACACAGGTGTGAAGGAAGTGGGGAGAAGAGAGGACCAGGACACACTAAAACACAGCGAGCACAACATTCAGATATTGCCTGAATTCTTCTGCACAGCACGCACAAGGTACTTACTTTTTCATTTGCGGGACTTTCATTTCTCCCATCTCCTTCATAAGTTGTTTTATCTTGTCTTCTACTTTTTTTAGCTCCTCGTTCCGGTTCCTCAGAGTAAGATTATCCTCCAGCCACCTCTCCTGCACCTGCCCCCCAGAAAGCAAGGAGGTGCACAATGCTTCAGTCTATCGGTTCTCAACTACAATGTATGAGTTCTGCACAGCTCTAAAGCATAAAATAATTGACAACAACGAAAATCGTCACACTCAGCACTGATCTTGTGCTAGAAATGGAGCACAATGGAAATCAGCAGTATTATTTCATCTTTCAATACTCAGAGTATTTCCTTTACAGGTGAACACAAGTGATTCTGTGTGTGAATATTAATCAGTGTTCCAAAGGGGGTAAGTGGTTTAGGATGAGATTTAACCAAGCCCCCTATCACACTTCTACAAGTTAGACAGTAAGTGGAGGGGTAGAATGGGTAAGACATATTTCCTATGAAGAACGTAAGCAGTATTTGAAATATATACACAGGAATTTAAAGTACATGATAAAATCTGCAGCAATTGGCAACTTTTGATATTTCACTTAAAAAGGCACGTTCTCTCCACACAAAGATACTCCTGAAAAGGCTGGCTGCTATCCCGACAGACTTAACCCTTTTGGAAATACCATAAGATGATAATTAAATGTTTTTTGAATTTGCATACACAAATCTCAAGATTTTTTTCAGCCTTTTGACTAACAGCTGATTAAATAAATTAGAAGGAAACAAATTTTGCACCACTACAGACCTAGGCAGATTTAAATCAAAACCAGGAATTATTTCAACCACGAAAAGTCTACTTTAAGCAATACATCTACCTTTTGAGTGTCAATATCTTGTCGAGTCATTTCCATCTCTTTACTTATCTTTTCCTTCTGTTTCTCACAGGCAGCCAAATGAGAATTTACTTCAGCAAGTTCAGACTCCTTTTGCTAAAAAGAAATAAAATGGTGTATGATTTAAGCACAGAAGTACTCTCCATGCAAACTTTTTATTGTCTGGTTTTTAGATTACCTTTTTATAGTCTTCTTTTCCTTGTTGAATATAATTTTCAATTTCTTTCATGTACTTGTTTATATCTTTAACTTTCTCATTTATGCCATTTATCTGCAGGGAAAAGATCTCAAATGAAATGTGGTCTTAAGTCCAAGAACAGATATGCCTGCATCAAAGATGAGGCACTGGGTAACACTTGCCAAAGTACAATCGCTTATCATAACTCTCTTTTATTTGCTAATAAAGCCTTCAGCTTTTGAAATCCAGATACTCCTTACAACCATGAAAATGTCTCTCCAAACAAATGGTGAATGGCTCATTTGTGCTTGCACAAGAGTCCCTTCACCTGGGAAAAGCAAGTGTGTCTCTTGGCAAGGACAGGTGATGGCCATCCTTGCTGTTCCTCTCAGGTCTATCAGGAAGGGCTTTGCAATCCATTGGCCAATAAATATTTCCAAATGTCCCAAGAAACCATTTGTCAAGACTGCCACGGGTTAATTACAATTGAGTTCATGTCCTGCCTGACTTATGTTCCTTTTCTTCCCTAAAAGCTCCACCAATCTAATGCATCTGCTGAAGTTACTGCCCAACAAACTCATTACCACAGTTTGCATACATGCCTGAAAACCAGTATCTAATCCTATGTCCCGGCTATGCCAAGAGCAAACAAACCTTCTCTTGTGTTTCTTTATTACTTGCAGTCCTTTTATTCACTAGATCCTCCTTCTCCTGCTGCAGTTTTTCTAAAGTTGCATCCAAAGGAAATACCTGTTCTTTTGCTTCCTGAAAAGCAGTTGGAAAAAGTCCTTTTTAATTTTCACATTCTGTTTCTTTTTTGGGTGCATTAAAAAACCCCAAAACATATTAATAAAGTTCTGGGTATTGCCCAAGATACACAACAGCAGCACAGGACAGACACTTCTCAAAATGCAGGATTAGAGACAGTGTTAAATTTACCAAGATTATTATTTTTTATTTCAAGGACAACACAGCCAAGGGTTAAATAATGATGAGTATTTCTTGCCTTGATGTCTCTGCCCAAGGACTGAACCTCGGTGGTGAGCTCCACGGTCTGCTCCTGCAGCTGCTGCCGGCGCTGCATGCTGCTCACCATCTGCAGCCTCTCTGCTCTGAGCTCATTCACTGTGCTCTTCAGCTGCTGAATCTCACTTTGCTGGTCCTGCTTCAGCTTCTGCTTTAAATCAATTTTACCAGCGACTGCAGATGAAGACAGAGTGAAACGGTCAATCTGTTCTTAAAACCATTATTGCCTTCCTTATGAAAATTTAACTCTAAATCAAGCTAGCATGGCTCCAAAAACTCGTGACGACAAACTAGGAGAATACGGTTACTTCAGAATGTAAAATAAGTAAACCAAAATTTTAATGGCAGGAAGTTTGGAACATTATTTCCAGTATCAAAATTAAATACCAGTTTGGTAAGGCCTACCTGTATCCCAAGAGTGTTTTTTCTCTTGTTTTTCTTGGCTTACTTGTTGAACAGTCCTACTCAAATTGACCCCCAGCAGTTTAGCCTCCTGCTGAGCAATTTTTCGTTCAACGTCCCTAATATCAATCTGAAAGTAGAAGGAAAAATATTATTACTGTTGTAATAGTGTTCAACAATGTATTTTTTTCATCTCTGGCACATAAGAATAAGCTCAGAGCTTGAGGCACTTTCAAATTCCCCTCCTCTTCTGGAGCACTGTGACATCATTAGCAGGTGGGTTGTGTCAGCCACAGGCTGCGAGAAACTGGAATTCCTAACTGTGGAGGAAATCACTCTGTGTGGATGGATGGGCTTTTGGCACCCCAGCCCCCCTCAGGACACTTACAGGAACAGCTTGTCCCTGTGACAATGGCGTGAAGAGTGTTCAAAATGTCTGCTATGCCAGAACAACAGGTAGTGTAGGATTTCCCTTTCCCAAATATTCAGAGGGCACAGAGACATGTGAATGGAAGCAGGTGGGAGATGCTGACAATACACTGAACCCAAACAACTAGAAGGACTGAGAAATGCTTTAGTGTACTTTTGGTCTGCTCAAGTTCTGTATTATACATTTTTTTCCAGTTACTAGCACAGAACTGAATCAGAACTCAAGGTACTCTGTGGTCCTTAAAAGAAAAAATCATGATGTAAGATGTGAATTTTATTAGTACCAAGATCATCTGTGTTATACTGTCTTTTTAAGTATTTTAAAATAAAGACCTTAAAGTTATGTCATATTAGTGTATAACTACAAATTTAAATTCTATCAAGCGACTATAATTTATATATTAAAAAAATAACCAAAGCATACCTGGTACCTTTCCATCAGTGTTATATCCTGTAAACATGCTTTGGCACTGCCCTCCTCAGACAAAGCTGTCTGCAGGAATGATTCCTGTTCTTCTATCTCATTCTTCAGGACTGTTAAATCTCTGATTGCATTCTGGATCTTGTTCTTCAGGTCTGGAATTTCCTTTTCAAGTTCAGCTACAGTTTGCCTTAAATAAAATATAAATCCCTAAAATTTCTTTTGTCAAAAACAGCAGCATAAATTGAAGACATTCAAGATCACAAAATCTGTGATATGATTTAATAGTGGAAGATTAAATTTAACCCAAACAGTAAGCCCTTAACCTTGCCCACAATTAACTAAGCTTACGTTTCATACCCAGCTAAGGTAATACATCTCTCATTTTAGACAGGTGAGATGAAACAAAACAAGCAAAATCTCTTTTGGTTTTTACCTTAATTACAGCAAGTGCTCATGAGAAGGTATAATCCACTGTACAAGAGTGCCCTCTTGTGAAGGAAAGTTCTACCCTCACATATTCTCAGATGCTCTCAAAATATTTATCTCAACAAGATAAATTAACTTGATAAATTAACAATGAGATGAACTAAGCAGTCCTAAAATGAAGCCTCTTTGACAATCTGCATAGTTTTAGTAATCAGAAAACAAGCACTTGCAAGGAAACAGCTTGCAACAATATGGTTTGCTAAGAACTTTACCTCACTGGTTGAAGGCTCATCATTTCATCACGTTTTTTCTCCTTCCTCTTAAGCTCAGTCTCTGTTGACTTCAGTTTGTCTGGGGCGAGGCGCAGCTTGGACTGCAGGTCACTGATGACATCCTGCAGCTCAGCCTCTGTCTGAAAAACTCGCTGGCACACTGGACAGCAAGACTGGGTCTCCTCTGTCAGCTGGGTAATGAACTGTGAATAGACTGCAGTGGCTCCAGCAAGCACAGCTGGGACAAAAACAAACAGAAGACTTATGCTGAATAAACAGTTCATAATCAGAGCTAAATCAGTGCTTTAGGGAGAGAAAGCAGAGCTGGGCATGAATTTACCTCGCTGTTTGGAACTTTTTTCAATTTCATCTTGAAGTTTGTTCAGATCGCTGTCAAAATCTTGACTTCCACAAACATCAAAAATTTTTGCTTCATGCTGGGACAACTGTGCTTCTTTTTTTTTTAGTTCATTAGTGGTATAAGTTTTGTCATTTTCTATCAATGCCAGCCGCTTGCTGAAACATCAGTGAAGAAACTCTTTTATTACCCAAAACCAAAGATTTAAACTGTTGAAGCAAAACCAAAACCACAGGAAGTTAATCTGCAATTGGTATTCCAGAGCTGTTTGCCACTTCTTCTTTACTGATTTTTCAGCCAATCTACAGCATCGACTATGCTACAGATCAGAGTGTTTCATTTGAAATCCCTTTAGCTTTCTATGTGCTTATGATGAGAAACTCATTCCTAACAAATAAAACCTGAAAAAACTTTACAGAACAGGATCATCCATTGCTGCTTATGAGATATTATTGCACCCGTCAAGCACAGATTGTTATCACTCCTTGACACACAACAAACATTGTGATTTTAATAACTAGCACAAACTGTATCAGCTCTACATTACAAGAGCACTGTAAGATGCTTTCTCTGATTTTGCAGGTACCTAAATAAACAGTCATGAATTTAGGTTAAAAGTATGTTGAGCATATTAAACTTTCCAACGTTTAAAACCATAAATACATATGGAGACATAATCAATTAATACCTACTTAAGGTTAGCAAGGGTATCCCTTGTCTGATTAATCCTTTTATTTTTACCATGAAGCCAGTCTTCAAGTTGCTTTTTATTTGGGAAGTATCCCAACAGGGATGTTAGCTCCTCAGAATGTCTTGATTTTACTTTTCTAATCTGCTCTTCTTTCTCTGCCTGGGGAAAGGAAGCATTTTAAATTCAAGTTTTCCTATCTTCAAGTTTATAACAGTCCATGCATTAATTAAGGTAATGGCTTCTATGAGGGCTTTACATCTGATTGTTGATAAACACCTGAAAAATACACAAATCTTGGAGGGACTGTATCAATTTTATGTCCCTCTCTTATGAGATATTGATTTAAAAATTACTTTGTCTTTCTTCAGCATCTCCATTTGGGTAATTGCTGTGGTGTGTAGATTCAACTGCTCCATCTCTTGATCCAGCCTCCTGAGAGCTCTGTCCAGGCTCATTTTCTCATTTTGCAGACTCTCTACTTCCCGTTCCAGTGTTTCTACATTGCTGTTCCTCTCAGCCTTCTCCAGGTCATGTTCCTGTTCAAAAAAACAAATGGTCAGAAAACACAAATAATGACACAAATCAGTGTATTTCTAACTAAAGGAAACCCAAGAAAGCTCTTCAGCTCATCAGCTGCTGCAGGAATGACGCAAGATTTGTAAAGAACACATGTAAAAGGCAAAACTGCAGCTGACAGACTAAAGATCAAGGGGGTTTTATGTTTTTTTGGGGTTTATCAATTTTTTTAATGATAAAGCCCAAAGTTCTTACTTCAAACTTCTATAATTTTCTCAGTTACACATTAACTTACCGTCTTGCCAATCTCCTCATCCAGCTCACTAATTCTGCCTGAAAACCCCTCCAACTGCTGCAATTCACATTTCACTTTCTTCAGCTCATCTTGTTTCCTATTTTGAATGTCTGACTTCAGGTCAATGGTTCTTTCTAGCCCAGTTTTCTTGTCTCTTATTTCATCTATCTGCTTTTGTTTCATTGCTTCTTTTCGTGCAAAGTCTCTCTGAAAGAAGTCAGTGACAATATATTCATTAATTTTTTTCACAGGAAATATTTAAAAATACTTTTCCACATTGGTTTGCAAATACTCATCACTGTAACACAAGACATTGAAATACCGAGAAAATTATAACTTGTCCAAAGTTTTCTGCTGCAGTGTTTTGACAGGAAAATGCAGATGCATCATAGCAGTAGTGTTCTGTGAGAGGAACTCCATTTTTAACATGACTTCAACAAAAAGTTGCTTATTTTTAAACCAGTTGCCCACTGTAATTCTTCCTCAGGCTTTTGAGCTTGTCAGTGATCCACCTGCATGAGGGCTGCTAGAAAAACCCATCTGACAAGCTGCCTGTCCAACAGCCTTGTTGACCGCTCCCAGTTCCAAAACTAATTCCCATGGAAAGATCCAGGCAACCCACAAGTAAAAATTCTAGAAGAAAAATGGCTTCAGTTCCCCCCTCAACACTCCCTCCCAGCACCTTCAAGACACGTAAGGATCAGTAACACACGGAGAACGGCACTACTGAAACAACAAAGTTCTCACCATCAACTGATTTGCAGCTTCTGTGTCTCTCTCCTGTCTCTCCTTCACCAACCTGTGAAAGCTGGTAATGTGCCTTTCACTGAAAGGGGCTCGCTCAAACCCATCCAATTCCAGCTGTGCTGCCAGGGACTGAATCAAGGAATCCCTGGTCATGATGTGCTCCTGGTGCCGATCTGCCTGCAGCTGCAGACGACCTTCACAGGGAGAGAGTGATGTCAGTGCTCAAAACCTGAAGGTATATTTAGGATTCAAAGGCAGTTGCAACTACTGAAGCCTTTGAAATGGAAGTATTGTTAGAGAAAACAAAAAGCTACAGAGTAAAAACAAGCTGTAGCTAGAGATTGTTATTTCAGGTAACTAAATTTTTATTAATTTAATAAAGCAATAAATTAAAAGCAAGCCTCTTAAAACACTAAAAATATTATTCTGATAAAAAAACAACCCCCAAACTTATTTTATGTAAGCATGTATTCTGTGCCTCAACTACTGCAGCTTTGCTGAAGTTCCCATAATCCATCAAGAAGAGAATACCCAATATATGAAAGAACACCACCCAAAAGCCTCTGACTCATCCCCATTCCCCACGTGAGACACAGAGAACGCTGGGCTTCCAGCTTTCATGGTTTTCTCAGTTCTAAGACAAGATGTACTACATGTTGTAACTAAAAACAAATACAAGATTAGAGATGAAGTCGAAAATACCTCGTTCAACAAGCAGCTCTGATTTCTCACTGTTGAACCTCTGGCATTCTTTAGTGGCTCTGTCCAAGTCACGTTTATAGTCCAACAATCTCTTCTCCTTCTCCTTCACTATTCTCTGGTGGTTCTGGTATCTGTCCCTCAGTTGTTCATCTGTTCCTTGGAAAACCTGTACACCAAATACAAAAAGCTATCTTTGTTCTCTATTAATTAAATTTATTTATTAAGTCAATTATTGATGTTTTTAAAATGTACAGTTTTTACCTTAACAGAATTCAAGAAATAAAGACAAACACTTCCCATGCAGAATTTCTATACTAACACATGTAAGGGGAAAAACTGCTATAAGCAAAACTGGAAAACCTATTTTTCTTAGGCTGATAAAACAAATTAATCCCAGATTTTGTCACACAGGAAACCTTTTCCATCTTCTGTTGCAAATCTTGATTATCTTTCTCCATTTGCTGCCTCCTGCTCTCCAGGGCCTTCACATCATTGTCCAGCCTCATTACTTTTGTGAGATTCTGCTCAACTGCTGTCAGAGAACTCTGTAAAACAAAGAAGTAAAATATCTCACCAGCTTATGAATCTCATAATCAATTAAGTGTAAAACCTTCAGCATTATAAAATACTTGTAAAAAGTAGGAGGGGCTAAGTTTTAGTTTAGTTTAGTTTCAGATACCAGCTAAATTTGAAAGATTTTTAATCAAGCAACAAAAGAATTCTATGTTTTCAAATCTCCAGTGACTGTTTACAGGTTAGAACAGCATCTGCCAGGTGAGCTGACGTGTGCTTGATTCTGCTTCAGGGCAAAGGATTAGACATAAAAGTGTAAGATTTTTGACAGTTTTGTATTCAAGTATTAACACAATCATCAGTTACCTTTAGAGGTTCAAGCTGGCTCTCAATTGTTTTTACATTCTCCTTAGAAGCAGCCAGTTGAGCCTCTCTTTTGCTAAGAAGATCCTGGATTTCCTGGGCTTTCTCTTTGTTTTGTTTCAGATATTTCAGTTCTGTCTGACACTCTTTTACTTTCAAGCCCTGTTTCAGTCGTACCTGACGCAGAGCCTCGAGTGCTTTAATGTACCTTTAAAAAAAAAAAAGACAAAATTTCAGATCTTTTGGCAATGCAGCAACACTGCTGTGTGAAACAGTGCCTTAGACATTTTCATCAACAACTACATTATTAGGGAAGACATTTTCTTACTTAGTTTTTATTTAATTACAGTAAAGAGAAAAACCTTGTTGCGGAGAAGATCTCATCAAATTTTTGCTTGAGGGCCTTTCCTTCACTTAAGGGCCAGTTGGATTCTTCTTGGTGGCAGAAAATGACGTTGTTTAGCACCGATTTGGAAACACCGAGGGCGCTGATCATCTCCCGGTCTATTTCTGCACACTTGGAACTCAGGCTGCAGATCTTCTCCCCGCTCTCGCTGGAGCACAGATACAGAAAATCCCCAAAGATGTTACCAGCAAGTTCTTTGAGAAGTAAATTGCATTCTTAACAGTATAATCTCGTTGTAACATAATGATTAAAAAATTTAACAACTAACAATTTTCAAGTCCATAAGTACCATGCGCTTTTAACAGTGTCAGTATTTGTAGTCTGACTGTTACACATTTCAAAACTCGGTGGAACCACCAGAGGGAGCAGAAACGCTCTGGAGTAAAGGGAACACATTTAAACAGATGGGAGTTAAACACAGGCCAAAAATGATCTGAAACCGAAAATGTTCTAAAGGAAGCAAAGCCTACATACTCCACACAATGTTAATTTTAAACTGTATCATACAATCAGAGAACCATGGAATGGCCTGGGTTGGAAGGGACCTTAAAGCTCATCTTGTTCCAAACCTCTGTGGTGGTCAGGGATGCCACTAGACCAGGCTGCTCCATCTAACCTGGCCTTAGACACTTCCAAAGGGCAGCCACAGCTTCTCTGGGCAACCTGTGCCAGGGCCTCACCACCATCACTACTAAGACAATTTTCAAATAAATTCAAGCTGACAGGTTTCTTAACGTAGAGGCTAAGAAATGCAGGGGTTTTCCATCACCTAACAGATACAGTGGTGAAACTACCCACCTTTAATCTAAAGGCTCTGGTAGCTTTTAGGAATATACTATGGAGTTTTCTCTAATCTTATGCATAAAGATATACCAAAATCAAACAGATCTTCATGTCAAAGTAAGAAAAAAACCACTTGACAACTTACTTTGTTCTGGTAATGACAGATTCCAGCGTTCTGAATTCCGGAGCCTTGCCCTTCTGGGTGCAGATCATGGAGCGCTGGACAGCTACGAGCTCTCCATTCACATCCCGGAACCGCAGCCGGATCTGAGCTCTCACATCTGTCTCATTGGCAACCTCGGGAGAAACAAAGAGAAACCCAGTTACAGAAAGTTCTCCCCAAGGCCCGAATGAATATGTGCCTCCCCAGCTGTGGGGACTGTTCTGTTCTCCCCCAGCTCTCTGCTTTTCCTGAATCAATACAGTCAGCCCAGGTCTGCCTACAGCCTGAGCATCCCTGTTTCACTCACAACCCCCAGTGCAGGGAAGTATTTTATTTAGGAGTAAATACACATTTACATCTAGTCATTATGACTCTTACCTTTGGATCATGAACAAATGTTTTCCCTTTGGTTCCAGGAGGAAAATCTCCAGTGCATATATATTTAAGACATTCAATTATAGTCTAAGAAAACAGAAATGAATATCAACTTATAATGGCAATTTAGAGAAACCAAGATGGACTACAGATAAAAGCACAGTAACAGCCCAAATATTTACAAATGAGTAAAATATGTGAGGAGAGAGAAATAAGAAATAACATTTTATTTTTTGAGTATCATGAAAACACAATACTTTGAAAAATCCATTTTAATGAGGATATCAATTTTCTAGGAAAAATCTGTAAAATCCAGGCAAGAAAGCAGATCTCTAATAATACTAAACAACAGTGCAGCAAACAGCACAACTTTTGCAATATTATTAATACCTTTCTGTAAAGATCATTATTCTAATGTTGAGGCCTTTTACAGCTCAAGCCCAAACATATAGCAAGCCTTACCGTTTTTCCTGCACCATTTGGTCCCACCAAAATAGTTAATGGCTCAGAGAAACTGATAATTTGTTTGTCTTTATCCTCTACCCCAAAACTCCTCACTCCAAGGATACTCATTTTCTCAATCCTGGACATTTTTGCTGAACTTCTTCTCTTCCAAAGTCAGAGGTGCAAATGTTGTAAATCCTGTAAAACAGAGCTTTGTGAAAAATCCAGTGGGCAGAAATCACAGTAGATCACCGAAAGTTGACTAAATACCTATACAAGCACAACATATGATGAATATACTTAAAAACACAGCTGAGGCTTCTCAGTTACTGTTCGAGGTAGAAAACATATGTGGGCAAACCCCTTATTTGTTTTAAACTCAGAAATTAATCAACTCTAAGTTAAGTGGAATATGAATCAATGCAGTTAAGAGAGTATATATCATTAAATCAAATACAATGGCCCAAAATAACCCTTTATTCCACACCACAAACCCCATGCATGTGCTTTTAGAATACCCAAAACACAAGAGAGGCCCCAATATTTTTCTCTCTGATAACCCACTGCTGTACTGCAACACCCAACACCGTTCACCACTGCCTGTTCCTCACAGGTACATCCAGCATCACCTTGTCCTGATTCCTGCTGGGAAGGGGAAGACACCGGAGCCTCCCAGGCCATGGGGTGGGAGCTGCCCCTGTCTGGGGGAGGCAACTCCAACCCCAAGGCCTAGCAGTGACCCACGGGATAAACGTCAGTGCCATGTGTGCGTGGCTGTGTATTCCAGGGGTGTATGGCTGTGTATTCCAGGGATGTACAGCTGTGCATTCCACCCCTGTCCCAGGGGTGTGTATGGTCCTGTATTCCAGGGATGTACTGCTGTGTATTCCAGGGATGTACTGCTGTGTATTCCGCGAGTGTATGGCTGTGTACTCCTATCCCAGGGATATACAGCTGTGCATTCCACCCCTGTTCCAGGGGTGTATGGCTGTGTATTCCTATTCCAAGGATGTACAGGATGTACAGCTGTGCATTCCACCCCTGTTCCAGGGGTGTGTATGGTCCTGTATTCCAGGGATGTACAGCTGTGTATTCCAGGAATGTATGGCTGTGTATTCCTATCCCAGGGATTTACAGCTATGCATTCCACGCCTGTCCCAGGGGTGTGTATGGTCCTGTATTCCAGGGATGTACTGCTGTGTATTCCAGGGATGTACAGCTGTGTATTCCACCCCTGTTCCAGGGGCCCACGGCCCACGCTGCCCTCAGGGCTCCCCCCGTCCCCCTCCCTGCGCCTCGGCCCTCCCGGGGGCGCCCGGCGGGGCTCGGCCCCCAGAACGGGCATTCCCTGCCCGGGCCAGAGGCGGCAGCGGGGCTTTCCCGCGCTGCTGCCGGGGGCGGGCGCTTTCCAGGGGGAGGCCATGAGGCAGCCCTGCCCGCCCGAACCCTCTCCCCGTTCCCGGTGCCCCCCCCCAAACCCTGCCGGTACCTCCTCCGGGCCCTGCTGGTACCTCCTCCCGCCGCCGCCACCGCCACAGCCGCTCCCGGCCCGGCAGCCCCCGCGCCCGCCCCGCCCCGCCCCGCCATGGCGGCCCCGCCCCCTCCGCCTGAGGGGCCGCGGGAACCGGCACCCGCTACGTGAGGGGGGGGGGGGGGGAAACTCGTTAAACGGCTTAATAACCGAGAACAAAGCCAAACACGCTAGTAAGGGTAAACAACAACGATAATAGTGGTAATAAAAAAAGGGAAAGGAGGAGCCCAAAGAACCGATGCTCGCCACCCGCCGCCAAACCCCCTTCCCCAAACCCAGCTCCCCCCCCCTTCCCCCAGCCTTCCAGGTAACTCCGCCGGTTTATGGGCATGGAACTCCCTCTTTGCTCCATAACTATTAAATCTTCCAGTTGTTAGAAAAAAAGCCCAAGCTGGAGGAGGACTGCCCCTTCCTCCCCCTTCTCTTCTGGCCCTACAGCTGGTCCTGTTGGGACCCCTGCTCCCTTTGGGGAGCAGGGGTCCCAACAGGACCAGCTGTAGGGCCAGACTAAAGATGCCATGAACACCCTTCCCTCACCCCCCCAGGCCAATGGGATCAGTCTCAGGTTGGTCCTGGGAATCTAACTTGTTTAGACTTCCAGCCTACTCCAAAAACCGATTAATAACTACGCCACGCTTGCTGTATTTCCTTGCTGCGAGCGGGGGGGAAACGACACGGCTTGGCCTTGTGTCGCGTCGAGTTCTCGGTCTTTTGGAAAACGGGCCCCTCAGTTGAACTGAGTAAACAGAGGTGATGTGTGAAAGTAAGCCTGGGCCTTCATCAGAAGCGGGCGGCCAGCAGGTGGTTTCGCAGCCAGCAGTCCAGGCTTTCACTCTATGGTTGGGCCCCGGTGATAATTCGGCTTTTTTTTTACGAGCGCGGAAAGGGTTCGCGAAGCATAAGCTACAGCCGCTTCGGATTTTGAAGCAGGTTAGGATCCACACTGGCACAACAGGCTGTAAAAAATATTGCCGGAGGTAAACCCCACGCCCGTCTTCCAGAAGCAAATACAACTCCTCTGGAGAGATGCTACCGGATTACACTCCAGTTTTGTGTTGCCTCCTGCCCCGTAGCTGCCTCAGTATGACTCAGCTGTTCAGCAGAATAACGCCATCAGTCTCTGCTGTCACCCTTTCTCCAGTGCAACGCTTTTCCGCATTGCTTTTAGATGATGCTTAGACCGTGTCCTGACTCCGCAGCCGGTCTGACCTCCGGAATATTCTCCACAAGCTGTTGATGAGCAGACAGCTGTTGGCGGTGTTTCTGTTAAGTTTCCTGTTTCACTGTTTTCCCATCAAGATGAAATCTACTCTCTAAATAGTGTGTGTGTTTATGCTACCGTGGGATGGTTTAGTGGGAATGATTTCTTCACTTGTGATCGGTCTCCTCTGACCAGCACAGTTATCAGCCTTTCAGAGTCTAAATCTGTGAATGCAAAAGTGTGAACATGAAGGGCTGAGGAGCAGAAGGGACTTCCTCAGTCGCTGTTTTCTGCGATGAATATTATCATGTCATCCCTTCTAGAAATCTGTCAGTCTGGTTGGAACATTCAGTAAAGGAATAAATAGTGGTTACAAGCTTTTCTATTTCCCTTCTAAACTACTGTAAGAGCAGTCAAAGTTTAACCTGTAGTTATACTTTTCTTGAGGAATTTTAGGACAAGAATTAAAAAAAAAAAATTTAAAAACTTAGTTAAGCAGTGTTTTCAACAAAACTTAAACAGATCTGCTCATAAAGTGATGTATTAAGAAATTAATCATTTGATGTGCACAATATTCTCTGTTTCTGTGACTCTCAAGCAGGTAGCTGTGGAAAACCAGATGACTCTTCTCACATCGTTGAATAATTAGTCCGATTTTGCTGGAAAATTGTAACCTTTTAATGACTGACTGTTACCCTCTCACAAGCCCTTGCCAGGCATCTGAAAGTAGATTTCAGCCACTTACAAGCGCTTCAGTGTTTTTCCGCTTACGTTGACGGACAAGGTTTTCCCTTGATGCCTGGACAGCTAATTTCTGCCATTAATGCCTGCCATGCTCTCACTTTGGGCTGCTGCTGCTGAAACCCATACCTTTCCCAGCCCTGTGTTCTATGCTGAGTTTCACAGAGCAGTGAGGGTGAGGGAGGAAGGCTGAAAAATTCAAATTGTTGAAGTGGTGTTACGGTCTTTGTGTGTCTAAGAAGTTGCTATTATTTTTTCCTCTGCCTAGAACTGCAGCTCATGTTAGAAAATCCCTTTGAAGAAAGGATGGCATATTACTGAGTGGGATGTAAAAACTGCTCAGCTTTTCAGATCTCCATCTCTCCGATTATGTGATGCAAAAGTAAGACTAGAACCACATAAAGATCTGTATTGTACAAGGAATGCTCCTATTTCCTGTGATGAGTTTTTGATATCGTGTAAGAAAATGACATCTCTTATCCACAAAGGTATTTTCCCCTTACTTGATGTCAGAAGGAAGGAAACCCCCAACCTGTCCCCACTGAGGCATCCCACAGCGCCTGTGATAATTCACACTATGGTCTTGTGCCTTTTCCTATGTGAGAAAACTTTCCCTTTCATTTAATATTCAAGGTGTACATGAGTATATATAGGCAGTGTGTAGGGCATAAATCAAACACAGCCCTCCTCGAAGCCAAAATGCTGTTGCTCTCTGTCCTCCTAGTGAGTTGCTGCTTACCTGGCTCCATGGGAGACGCAGTAAGAGAATTTCAAGCAAACCTCAAGGTTCTATTGGCTCTA